AACACAACCACAGATTTAAAATTTAATTTTTGCTGCTGTTGTCTAGATTCATTCTTTCTTCAACAATGGGAAGGTTGTTAGCATCTCTGAGATTCAATAATGTCATCCAAGGTGATTTCTTGTTGATACAATGACAATGAATCCAGATTAAACAGAAAATCTGTGCTACCTATGTGGTTAATATGTGATGGTAGAATAAAATATGGGCAAAAACAAATTAGATAGAGTTACCCCAAAACAATGGCCGAGATGTTCATTAGCTTATTAAAAGCAAAGTAGGAACAAAGGGAAGTGACAGTAGACCCTTAGAGCCTGGCCTGAGACAAAGTTTTGAATTTCACATCATTTTAATGCTGTAGAGTCCTTCGACCATCATTTTAAGAAGTAGATACACTATTTCTTTAATTACTGAATGCTTAGTTAAAAAAGAACTTATGACCAAATGAATGTCACTGAGGTATATATTTATTATGATTCATATAGTAAATTTTGTTGTATATATTTTATCCTAATAAGAATGGGCCTTAAAAGCTGATGTATCTTTGAAAAACACAGAAGTGAAAGAAGAAAATTGAGTACACAATTTTCCTCCAAATTACAGCTAGGGTCCAAATCTTAAGTGGACCTTAATTTTCTCTTCTTCATCTTCTTGCATTAATATTGGGAAGTCCTTAGAGATGGGCATTGCATGGACCAATTAGTCTAATTGTGAGATCTGTGTATTGAGCTTCCAAGATCCTATATTAGTCCACAGTCAGCCTGTGCCTGCAGCCCTTCAGTGGATGGTTCCTGACCAGTGAGCTGCGTGGCTGTGTCTCCTGCAGTGGTTCTGCATCAGGAAGTGCCCAGCTGACAGCGTATTCATAGGAATGCTGGGCACAGAGTCTGAGCATTTGTTGGGCACCAGGTATGTGTGGGTCTTGGGATGTGCACTTATTAGTCGTAATCCAGGAGAGAATCACTGCAATCCTGTAAGTACAGAGAGAGCTTTTGGATGTGCTAAGGATTACAGGGAGTAACATTTCCTCATCTTGAGGAAAAAATTCACTGTTTGAGTAGCCAGATGGAAGAACACAAACATGCAGTGTTTTGTATGGGTTTGTGAAGTTTTGCTTTTTTGTTTAAGGTGAGGGTATTGGATATCATTTTAAAAATTTTTTCTCTACCAGACTGGTTTCTGTTTTCCATAGAAATCTCACCCAAAACTGCACAAAATGGGTTGGTTCTTTAAAAGTGTTTTCTTACCTCTATGAAAGGACTAAGGTGGTGAAAAGATGATGAGGAGGATGACTGAAGCCAGAGCATAATAAACTGTTATGCAGGACTTCCCAGGCTCAGTGCTGAGCAATGTGGTCTATGTCTTTTTTTCATTTCATGCATATCACCATGCTGTAGTTATGCACGCCCAATTTATTATACTTTACATTAAACAAAGAAGAACATTATAATTATGGAACTTGTTCTTGTTTGTTAGACCAGAAAAAGTGCAGTTTTGTTTGCACTGGGCTGTCTGGCCATGGACACAGGGCATCACAGGAGAATCCTGGCAGGCTGTCCCATCAGCAAGCCCAGTGGAAATTTCTCTTGCTTACTCTGCTCTTCCTCTTGTGATTCCTGGTGATCACAGGCAGAGCAGTGAGGTCACCTGTTGCATGCACCACAGAAGAATAGCCACAGTTCACAGGAGAGGTCACAGTAGGGGAGGCTGATGATCATTCAGGACAGATCACACATTTGGGCCCCCTCCAGAACCTCCTTGAGCTCATCACATGCTCCTCCTTGCTGGAAAACAACCCTCTCAATCTCAAAGCAAACATAATGTTAGGTTTTGATTTCATTCTCACTCATAAAACTGTAAAGATTCTAAAAATGCCAGAGATTTACCAGTGGTTAAGATCTTTGAACCTATACTGAAAATGTCAAGTGGGAAAGAATAAAAATAAAAGTAATCCATCTATTTCAAAATCTCTCAGTCCTAATCCCTATCTCTGTAAGGAAGTTCACTAGTTTCACTGGTGTCTAGATTCAGCCTTGACATCTGGGTTGATTTCCCATTGATGCAACTGCAGAGTAAGGATAAATACTTTGTTCTCCTATTTGAATAATATGGGATATATGAATAAAATCCAGGCAAAATAAAATCTGGATATTGTTGTTACTGTTAGTTCTTACTAGGTTAATCTTTATGCCACTCAATTAATATGTCCAGTGACCTAAAATGACCATTTTCCTATCTCTGGATGGGCATTTTAATTTTGACCTTACAGATATGTGTGCTGGATATTTGGGAAGAACGTCTCATTTTTTTTTCTATTTTTGACTCCCTGAGGCCTATGCTCTGCTTGGCACAGGGAGGCATCCAAAATAAGTCTGTTCAGCATTGAACCCCCAGCACCATTTCTTTCCTAAATTGACCAAAATGAATTTGGATTAGCAAATTGTGGCCTCCTGTCTGTACTTTCTTTCCTTTCAGCAGTGTCCATGGGTATAGACCCAAGTTAAAACTGTCTCTCTGTGTCCATGTTTTGGATGTAGAGACTCTTTATTTTCATTTAATATCATCCACAGCAGAAAAAGTTTCAGAAAACATGGCAGAGATTTTCATGGGCTTGAAGAAAGGCAAGGAGGCAGAAGCTGAAGGGCACTTAACACCTCAGCCTTCCACTGAGGCACAGGTCAGAGTTTCACCTCATTCCAGCCTCCACTGCCCTTGACCATGGCTTTCCTCCATAATGCGGATAGTTATCAAATCATGGATTTTTTTATTAAATCACAATGACCAAATATTTGTTGAGTTTCAAATATCCCTTTGGAGATGGTGTTATTTTCTGTGTTTCCATTAAGCAGTGAGCAGGGAGAGGAGGAGAGATTTGCACACTGTGCACACACTGGTAGGTGGGATGTGGGTCTGAAATGCTGCCTTCTTGACTCCAGCATGATCTCTTCAGATAGATCCAAGGGAAAGAGTATTTCCTGAATTTGACAAATTTTCTTAAGGATTCATCAAGGAGAGATTATTACTACTTGGGGTGATGCTTCATTTTCCTGATACATATTAGGATTGAGAAGATATGGGTAATACTGGCTGTCCTTGAAGGGCATAAATGTAGGTTATTAATAGCAAATTTGAACGTGCATTTTTCTATTGGAAATCAATTGTCTAGCCCCAACCAACATATTTATTGGAGTTGGATATTCTTATTTGAGTGACATGGAGATTGGCAGAGGATTTTGAAATGTTTATCAAATTACTAAACTACCCAATTAAAAGATTGTGTCCTTTCAACAGATAACACTTTGCATCAGATAAAGACTTTTCAGAAGGTGAATGTACTCCACAGAGTACCTTCTCAGGTTAATGTAAACTTGCATATTTCATGGGCAATAGGTATTGTTTTGCAGAATACTTAAATTAAGTATTTTAAGTACTTTTAAGGCAACATTATAAACGAAAACTGCATGGTAGATGATTCTGACATGAAAACACCAAGAGAAAATTACATGTCCCCACTTCAAGACAATATCTGTGTCTGGGAGACAGGTTTGCAGGAGAATGGAAAAAGGCAGAGATACTAAGACTCAAATTTCCTATGTAATAATTCAGATATCTAGCCAATGTTAGTCCTGGAACAAGTATTATCAGATTCATATGTTTTAATATAGGTGATAATGTTATGGATAATAAGAATAAGCAATATTCACAGAGCATGTTCTACACACTAGGATATTGTTAGATAGTCGATTTCAGCTGTAGTATAAAAAAAGACGACTCAGAATTTCACATATGGATATGCTGATACAATTAGTGTTGTAATGACATCACTATGTTAGATATCCTAAAATATGCACAGGAAGAACTACAAGTTATGCTACTTGAAAGATTTGTTAAAAAATTTTTCTGATGACAGCCATACAAAGTGGGTAATTACTACCCCCTTTTGACAAATGAGGAGGTTTCCAAGAAGTTGTTACATTATTTCTTATTGTACTCTATTTTATACTGTATCTAATTCTGTCACAGTGAGAAATTATAAATAATGAACCTAAGTGTATTTCATGTAGCCTAAATAGGATAATTGAATCAATGTGTCAGGAATGACTGACCAGAAAATCTATGAAGAAGAAATAAGTAGATTGGAAATGAAACTTGGAGTTTTGAGTCTTTAATTAGTGTTTGGATCATCAACAATGTTCTTAAGGGTTTGAGATCAAAAAACTATGATCCAGTTTTATCAAGCCAGATGGAGTACAGAATCAAGAAAATGAAAAAAAAAATCAAGGGGCATTTTATATAACAGATATTTTGCTGATATTATATGGGTTGATAAAATAAACCTGCATAAAATAAAACAATTCAAAAGAGATTCTTACAGTCTATGATTTTAAAATCATTGACAGGTACAGTGCACACTAATGCCACATTGTGGTCAGCAATTTTATTTATGTAATCATGTTTATCCAAATTTGAAGTTCACCAAGGATAGGATTTTTATTTATGTTACTTAATTTTTAATTAGAAAACTTTAATGAACAAAGGAGGCAAATGAGAATGATGAGACCCCTTTGCAGAAAATGGGTCCATACTGCTTTCTTGTTATGATCCATCAACCTTCATCTAGTTGTCAGGAAAAGCAGTCCTTATGCAGTCTCAAATATCTTGTCAAAGGACTTTGTTGAAAGGCCTTATAACCAAAAGAGGTATATCAAACTGCTTCTTAATTTCCTTTTTTTCTTAAAGATAAGCAATATTTCATTGTGATCATGAATTTATTCCCTCCTTTGCTTCTGGACTTCTATATTGCTCAGTTCAATGTCTCTCAAGTGAGTATGGAAAGAGGGGTGGATGATGGAGATGGGTTTTTTCACTATTGAGAATTATTGTTGAAGGTGTGTGGACCTAAATCTTGAGCACCTTCCTGAGCAAACTTGATTTCAATGTTTCCAAAATGAGGGGTGCCTGTTTTATGTATTTTTAAACACTTTCTTTGCTTTTCAAAAGGTGTCCAAGAAACATACAAGCACAAAATTTAACCCGTGTCTCTGAATTCCTACTCATGAGCTTCTCAGAGGATCCAGACCTGCAGCCCATCCTCTTTGTACTATTCCTGTGCATGTACCTGGTCACCATCCTGGGAAACCTGCTCATCATCCTGGCTGTCTGCTCTGACTCCCACCTCCACACCCCCATGTACTTCTTCCTCTCCAACCTGTCGTTGGCTGATATTGGTTTCATTTCTACCACGGTTCCAAACATGATTGTAAACATTCAAACTCACAATGATATCATCTCCTATGAAGGATGCCTGACACAGATGTCTCTTTTTACCATTCTTGTCTGTATGGATTATATGCTTCTGTCTGTGATGGCCTATGACCGGTTTGTGGCCATCTGTCACCCCCTACGTTATCCAGTCATTATGAACCCTCGCCTCTGTGGCTTCTTAATTTTGGGGTCATTTTTGCTGAGTCTTTTGGACTCCCAGCTGCACAATTTGATGATCTTAAAAGTTACCAGCTTCAAGGATGTGGAAATTTCCAATTTCTACTGTGACCCTTCTGAACTTCTGAATCTTTCCTGTTCTCATAACTTCTCTGATGACTTTGTCAAGTATGTTCTTATTGCCATCTATGGCCTTTTCCCCATCTCAGGGATACTTTTCTCTTATTATAAAATTATTTCTTCCATTCTGAGGATCCCATCCTCAGGTGGGAAGTACAAAGCCTTCTCTACCTGTGGCTCTCACCTGTCAGTGTTTTGCTTATTTTTAGGAACAGGCTTTTCAGTGTATTTTGGATCAGCTGTATCACATTCTCCCAGGAAGGATGCAGTGGCCTCTGTGATGTACACTGTGGTCACCCCCATGCTGAACCCCTTCATCTACAGCCTGAGGAACAGGGACATTAAAAGTGCCCTGAGGAGGCTGCAGATCAGGACAGTCTAATCCCAGCCCCTGTGGGGTCTGGTTGCCATGCATTTTTGAAAATGCAACAAAGACAAATACCTAGTCCTGTCCATGTGCCCCACATGCTAATTTCTCACCAAGTTTTATAGTAGAATGGTTGGAACTCATCCTGGGAAAAATTAAGAAATAGTTCTGTAGGTGTCTGGACCTTGAATGTGAACAGCTGTTAGAAATTGGTCTGTTTGAATCTGGAATGCCCCTCAAAGACTTGCATGTTGGAGTCTTTGTCCTAATAACAGCAGTGTTCAAATGCTGGATGAAAAGTGGTCCATGAGACTTCTAACCTTATCTGTGGATTGAATTCCGCCCCCAACCCTTCCCCTCTTTCCCTTTTTTCTTCCTTCTTTTCTTTTTTCTTTCTTATTTCCAATACAAGTTTTCCCTCTTTTAAGTGATTTTCCTCAGGTATTTTTTCCACAGTAACAGAAAGGTGACTAACACATAAACCAAACAACTCGGGTGCATCCACATATTATATTAAGCCTCACTTATATGGTATGGAGAAGGACACGAATTTTGAAAGTTTCATTGTAATCAGAAGCTAAAAAAACAAATGATGTTTGTCTCTGGGGTAATGCCACATAGCATTTTAAAGCTTTCAAAATAAATTTATGTACTCTTTAGAGAAACTTTAAACTACATGTTGAAACAAATCAGCACATTGCAGGGCAATAGGTGTTTTGTTGCATACTACCTAGGTGAGATTATGTACTCTTTTAGGCATGTGCTTAAGAAAACTGTTTATGTATACAAAAACAAATGCAGATATGAAACCAGTGCCAGGAAAATCTACCCTCAATTCTGACAGTAATTGCCTCTGGGGCAGAAATATGCAAGTGGATAGTATCATACAGAGATGCCAAGACCTGGAATTTTATAGGAAGTCATTAAAACTCCTACAAGATCTAGTTGTCAACAACAGTGATTATAATTTTTTTGATGATGAAGTGGATTTCTGCAGTTTTTCCTTGACATTTTTATCAGTGCATTTTAGTTGTGTGCAGTGTTGGGATCTATTGTTACATATTTGTACATGCACACAATATAACAACAGAATTTGGTCAGTATAACTCCCCAGCACTCCCCCTCCATCCCTTCTTCCCTTCCTCTCCCTGTTCATTTCCTCTACTCTCCTGACCTCCCTTTGTCATGCAATAACCCCTTCCTTTCTTTCCCTTTCTCCTCTATAGCTTCCACAAATGAAAGAAAACATGTGATCCTTGACCTTCTGAGTTTGACTTACTCCACTTAATGTAATGTTCTCATGTTCCACCCATTTTTCTGCAAATGACGTAATATCATTTTTCCTTATGGCTGAATAAAACTCCATTCTGTATATTCACCACCTTTCTTTATCCATTTATTCAATGATGGACACCTATTTTCCCTTTATGTTACATTTTAAAAAAAACAATGAAGAATATTAATCCTACAGGATAGTGGTCTTACTGTGGTGTATTGATACATGCAGATGACATACTTGGTCAGTGATACTCCTAAGCCCTTTCCTGTCTGTCACCTCTTCTCTTCCTGTGCACACTTCTTTCAACCATAACCCTCTGCCTCCTACTTCACGACAAGTAATCCTTTCATCTCACTATGAAGTCATTTCCTGCATTGGAACAATCCCATCCACAGGTGAGAAGGGTGAAGCATTTTTGTGTGGGACTCACCTGTCATTTATTTGTTAGTTTTATGTCTCTAGCATGGAAGTGTCTTGTGTTGCAACTGTGTCACATTCTTCCAGTGATGTGGCCTTTCTGGTGGACTAAGCGATGTATCCCACAGGCACCTCTATGCTGTATCCTTCCTGTGCAGCCTGAGGAACTCAACATTAATGTCCCCTCTGGAAGCTCTGCGGCAGAACTGTCTAATTTCAGGACCTGAGGCATCCAGCTGGGATGTATATCAGAAAATGCAGCAAGATTAACATATTTCCTATAAATCCAGCTTCCTAGAACATATTGTTTTTGTATATTGACGGGTTTAATTCCTTATATTTCATAAGCAAACGGTGGTCACCAAGGTTGTGGCATTTTTAAAATGGATTCCCAAGTTTGGTTTGAGTGGATGAAAAATTTCTGGAGATGTTTGATGGTAATAGTTGCACAAAAATGTGAATGTAACTAATGCCACCCAAGCACGGACTTGACATGGTTAACATGGTAATTTTTTTTGTTTATATTTTCTTCTAATAAAATAGACATAAAATCAGATGAATCTCTGCAAAATTTGTAAGTGGAAGAAGTGAAGCATGTGTATGAGATTCCTTCTAAGCAGAGGGAGGGTCCACATGTTTTGTGGACATTCATTTCTCCCTCTGCTGCCCCTCCTCATCTTCTCTTCTTCCTCTTCCTCCTCTTCTCATCCATTTACATTAGGAGGTTCTTTGAGACTGGGATAACGTGAACCAATTTGGCTAATTAGGAGCTCTGCATTAAGCCTCCAAGACAATATAATAGTCAGTAATCAGGCTGTGCCAGCCATCCTTCTGTGAGTGGTTCATGTCCAGTGATCTCTGTAGCTTAATCTCCCTGTGACACTCTTCACCAGGAGGCAGCTATATAATAATGCAGTACTCCGATGAATCCTGAAGACACTGTCTGAGCTTTCACTGGGCATCAGGCATGGGAATGTCTTTATTTCTGCACTTGTTCATGAACAGAGACACATCAACCAATAAGTGCAAAGAGATCCCATGCATTAGGTGAGGATTCATGGAAGTATTCTTTCCTTATCATGAGAACAAACATGATAGTTTAGGTAACCTGACCCATGTGCATCCTAATATGCAAAGTTTCAACTATGAGAATTGAGACCATTTATGTTCTTATTTATGGTGCAGATACCAGAAACCTTATTCAAAATTTGCTTTTTACCCCACACTGTATCTACCTTTCATAAAAGTCTCACCCATTATAGCAAAAAGTGGGTCTTTCTAAACAGTTCTAAAAAGATTAGGAAGGTGATGTGAGGATGAGATCAAGGCCAAGAGTAACCCTCATATCATGGACTGATAGAGAGGGCTTCCTGCCCACCAGCACTGAGTGCTCTTAGTCACTCATTAATTTTTATGTATATCATCTTATTTCATATATATATATATACACATTAGTATTATTTTACAGAAAATGAAAGGCCACATTATATTTATGTAAATAAAATTGTACTAGTTATTAGGAAAAAATGAAGCCATGTTTGAATTGGTCTCTCTGGTTATGGACACAGGGCTTCATACCAGGAGAATCCTGGCAGATTGTCCCCTTGACAACCCCAACAGTCATTTCACCTCTTGTCACTCCAGGAGGAGACCTCTTGTTCATTGTCCTCTGCCTTTTGTGGGTTCCTGGTGGGTCACAGGACAGAATAGTGGGAGGAGCCACTTGTATCCATAATAGAAAGAGTAGCCAGGAATCAAGGGCAAATTTGCCAAAAAGTGTAGCTGTGTCCCAGTTCTGCACAGATCTCTGTCTTGGCCCCCTTGCAGGACCCCTTGTAGCTGATCACTCTCTCCTCCGTTCTTAAAATCACCCTAATCAGCTTTTAAAGGACTCACAGGGTCCAGTCTTGATTTGATTCCTTGATTTGGCACAGGAAACAAGAAAGAATTTAAAAATGTACTTGGTGAAGACAGCAGGTCCTCTGCTTAATACTTCCTATTGGCTGGGAGACATTAAAAACATCAATGGATTGGACTCAAAAATCTGTCAATTTAAATTTGAATCCTGTCTATGTCACTTATTTCTACTTTGACATAGGACACGTTTTTAGTATCCCTGAGACTCAGTGGACACTGAAATATGAATGGATTTCTAGTCTAGACAAGTTCATTGAATATGGATTCAATAGATAATAGAAGCTTCCTATGGGATTAATTTATGAGGTAGGTATTAAAAAGGGGCAAAAATTTAGATAGTGTTATTATTATTTATAGTGATGAGGTTAATCTTCATAGTATTTACTGATAAAGGGGTTAAACATAAAAACCCTTAATTTTATTTCAATATAATCTATGAGTCAACATTTAATATCCTGTGACCTGAAGTTACCATTTTTCTATTTCAATGGGAGTTTTCTTTCTTTTTTCTTTTTCATTTTTTTTTTTTTTTTTGTACCAGGGATTGAACACAGGGGCACTCAACAGCTGAGCCACATTCCCAGCCATTTTGTTTTTTATTTTTTATTTTGAGACATGGTCTTGCTGAGTTGCTTATGGCCCTGCTAAGTTGGTGAGACTGGTGTTGACTTCCATCCTGCTGTCTAAGCCTCTGAGCTGCTGGGATTGCCCAGCAGGACATTTTAATTTTGTTGCTATAGATGTCTGTGCTATGTACTTGGGGAAGACTGTTTTTTTTTTTTCTTTCTTTCTTTACTAATTCTCAAGAGATAATCTTTGCTTGCCACAGAAGAGGCATCAAAAATCTATTAAAGTTTGAATCACTCTTTCCTTAGGTCACTAAACTGGCTCTATATACATTTGAAAAATACACTTGGTATTTTCAGTCTGCACTGTCACCCCTCTTGTCCCCCTAGAACTAGAGACAAGTTAAAATAGCTCCTTTTTTGTGGGCATATCATGGACTCACAGCACATTAATTTTATTTGAACACCATCTACAAGATTCAGTTTTTGAAAGAAGAAAGCTGAGATTGCAATGAGGATGAAAAAGAGAAAAGAGGCCAAAACAAAAGGGAAAGAGGAATCCCATAAAAATAGAAGGGAGATGGTAGAGTAAGGGAAAGGGTGGGGGCAGAGAGAGCAAATTATATTCTAACCATAATTTTATATCTAAGTCAAAATGAACCCCAATATGATGTATAACTATGATGTACTAATAAAAACAGAAAAAGATTTCATCCCAAGGTTATCAGAATATAATGTGGTATATTAAACTGCTTGTTTATTTCTTGTTATCAGAATGATATTTTTCATAATGAGGAATGCTATAACTTATTCTTCACTGTTTTTCAGAATGTTTG